ATATATATATATATATATATATATATATATATATATATATATATTCATATACACATATACATGCATATATAGACACGTGCACATACATATTTTGTGTACAAAGATGATATTTCGTTCGGACGGAGAGTGTAAAACTTCCTGGGACATTTGGTAGATAATGCAAAACACGTATATGTATGCCTTAGAATATATATAACAAGCATATGTCTCAAACGCACATAATGTACCATATTCTTTAAAGCAATGTTTTATATTCTTTTAACTCTATGATTTTCTAGATATTACTATTAAGCTCGCTACAGGAGGTACTGACTTAAACAGGGAATAGGTACTCGAAATAAAATAAGCAATAAACCAAATAAACAAAATGAAACTAAAACGCATCGGCAAAATGACTGAATTCTGTAGATTTACATTATTGCTTACACAAGCTGAATCCTAAAGCCATTTGGTTTTTCTTTGTATTCATTCAGCCTCGGATTTTATTTTCAGCATCTTATTTTCTATACATACGTACATATATACTTGTATATATATTTTTTGTTTATATATTGTTTTTTAAAGCCCTATTTCCCCCCGTACTCCTGTCACATGGAAACTTAAAATTGAGAATAAGGTTTGGGGGATTTCCAGCTTTAACACATATGTACATTTGTGCCATATTCGTATGATTTTAAAATGCATTGGCGTGCATAATCTTCCCTCGGATGAGACTGTATTTTCTGAGGCCATCAAGTCAATATATTCGAAAATCACAGACTTCCTCACATATTTTAATTAACACACACTGTTCACGAAACATTGGTTGTTTTTTTTTCTAAAAAATACGTAAACTGCAGTTTCTTAATTAACTGCCAGTGAGTATTTCCACTGATCGACCTCTTATACATAAAACGATACATGAATTCTCGGAACAGACTTTGGCGAGCACGACTATACAACGTACTTTTTGTAGGTAGACCATTCATATGTTAAAAAAATGTTGCTGTTTCTTTTCCTCTCTCTCTAATAACATATCTTTTACAAATAAACCAATGGAGTTTTCCATGTATGCACTTGTTACTGCATTCCTATAAATATATGGAAAAAAGGATATTCTTTTAGGACGGATGGTGAAAGTAAGAAGATGCAGGTATGATGCGCACTGTAATGTTTTATATTTTCAAAACAAAAACCATTGTTTCTGACAAGAGAAAGGGTCACCACGTAGTACCCTTTTATTCTTTTCCCGTCATTTTTTCTTGTTCTTTTTTCTTTTCTTATCATCCTTCCTATTCATTTCTTTTTCCTTTACCTCTCTCTTTTCTTCGTTCTCTTTTTTTCCTTATTTCTACGTTATGTTTTGGGAACGAGCAGTCACCACAGAACTATAATTTGCGCAGGGAAAGAGCTTGAGGATTCTTGCATTTGTAAAAAAAGGGGGGGGGTCGAGAATCTCATGTTGATTCATCAGAAGAGCTGATAGAACACCACTAATTATCAACCACATTCCTCACTGCAGCAACTCCTGAAAAAAAGAAAAAGAACCTTTTATATTTTTTTTTATCTATAAAGAATTACCAACCCCTCGTTTTCCAATAGCAAACATCACTACCTGCGATACCAATATCCTGCCATTCTTTTTACTTGACATTTTCTCTTACAACAGTTCAATTAATAAGCTTAATAAACAAACTCAAAATAAAGTCCCGAGCCTCCAAAACTCCCGTATTCCCGACGGAACACTCACCTCGTCCGACTCCTCACCCTCAGGGGCCATGAGACGTCTGGCAGCCTCGTCGGACCGCAGGGGAATCGTCGTGAATCTGGATCCGTCGAAGGCGTTGACGTCCACCTACGGATACGGGGCGTTGATGAGACGTGAGGAGATCGTGCGTTGAACGTGGATGAGGGAAAAGTACGTGAATGTGGAGGGAAAAAAGGGGGCGTTGCAAGTAGGTGTTGAAGATGTGTATTGTAAATGGATGTGGTGAAAGTACGTTTGTAAGTGAACAAGGGAGGAGTGTGTTGTATGCGGATGTAGTAAAGAGTGTGGTATAAATGTATGTAGAAGTTTCAAATATGGTTATGTATATAAAAGACGGAAGGAATTGAGGGAGGGAGGGAGAGAGAGAGAGAGAGAGAGAGAGAGAGAGAGAGAGAGAGAGAGAGAGAGAGAGAGAGAGAGAGAGAGAGAGAGAGAGAGAGAGAGAGAGAGCATATATTTGCATAAGTGCACATGTGAAAAAGAGCGAGTAAATACACATGGAAGAATAAATAGATAACTTGTCTTCCCTTTAAACTGGTAAGTAAACCAAGGTGGGGTAAACGGCAGCGCCCTCATTTGCTAGTGATTTACTCATTCTTACCACCTCTTACAGGCAATATATATATGTATTTTTTTTAATCACTGTCCCCGCTTTAGTCTAAAGTAACCCCCCCCCCTCACAAAAATCATTCTGGTGAAGCTCCTGCAGTAAACACTAGACGGTAAATTGACATGAGCATAAATATAATAAATATACCTCAGTGGACTATTTCACCTATGAATTACTCTTCCTTACACGTGAGACATATGCCTTTAGGTTTTATAAATCAGGCCTCCAACAGGCAGGGAAAGGGTAGTATCTCTTTATAAAATATTATTAGAAAAGACATAAATTTGATCTAGTGTCCCTCTTTTTCTCGCCATATTTCTCTCTTTCCTTTTCATCTTCCGACTCTCCACTCCTCTCCCTTCCTCATTCTTCTTCTTTCCTCGTCTCTTCCCTTTCTCCTTTACTCTCCTCCTCCTCTCCCTGCCACTGCCGTCATTCCTCTCTTTCTCTCCCACTTTCAACTCTCTTTCTCTCCTCATATCTCACTTTCTCTCCTTTCCTATCTCTCCCGCCCATCTTCTCTTTCTTCCGCTCTCTTTTCATCCCCTATCTCACTCCCTCCCTCGTTTTCTCTTTGTCTTTCTTTCCCCTTCCCCTTCCTCATTCTCTCCTCTCTCTTCTCTTCCTCTCACGTACTTTCTTCCCCCCTATCTCTCTTCCTCTCCCCCGTCCTCCGTCTCTCATTTTCTTCCCTCTTTCACCCTACCTCTCACACTCTCTTACTTTCCTCTCTCTTATTTTCTCTCTCTCCCACTCTCTTCCTCTTCCCTCACACTCTCGCCGTCCCTTTCTCTAATTCTCTCCCCTCCTTCACTTTTACACTATCTTCGTCAAACTTACATCCTTCTACTGAACTCTGATCTTCCCACTCTTCCCCTCTCTAACTTTCTCCCCCTCCTTCATTCTTTCTCCCCCCCCCTTTTTTTTCATACACTCCCCTCATTCTCTCATCCCCTCCCCCCTTCTCTCATTCACTCATCCCCTACCCCTACTCTCATCCCCCACTCTCTCATTCTCTCCTCCTCCTCTTCTTTCATTCTCTCCTCCTTCCCTTCTTCCATTTTCTCCTCCTCCCCCTCCTTCATTCTCTCCTCCTCCCTTGTCACATTCTCTCTCCCCCTCCCCCCCTTCTCTCATTCTCTCCTCCCTTTCTCTTATTCTCTCTCCCCCTTCTCTTTCATTCTCTCCTCCTCCTCTTCGATCCTCCTCCCCTTCTTTCATTCTCTCCCCCCCTCCTCTCATTCTCTCCTCCTCCCCTTCTCTCATTCTCTCTCACCCCCTCCTCTTTCATTCTCTCTCACCCTCCCCCCTTTCTCCCCTCCTCTCTTCCTCCCGTTCTCTTTCCCCCTTCTCTCATTCTCTCCTCCTCCCCTTCTCTCATTCTCTCTCACCTTCCCCCATTCTCTCTCACCCTCCCCCCATTCTCCCCTCCTCTCCTCCTCCCCTTCTCTCAGTCTCTTTCCCCCTTCTCTCATTCTCTTCTCCTTCCATGAACTCATTTTCTTCTCCTCCCCTTCTATCATTCTCCACCACCGCCTTTCTCTCATCCTCTCTCTCTTCTCTTCCCCTTCTTTCATTCTCTTATCCTCCCCTTCTCTTTCTCTCATTCTCTCTCCCCACATCCTTCTCTCATTCCCTCTCCCTCTTCTCTCCTCCTCCCCCCCCCCCCTCTCTTTCTCTCATTCCCTTTCCTTTTCTCTTTCTCCCCTTCTCTCCTCCCCCCCCCTTCTCACATTCCTTCTCTCCCCTTCTCTTTCTCTTATTCCCTCCTCCCCACACCCTTCTCTTTCTCTCATTCCCTCTCCCCTTCTCTCCTCCCCCCATCCGTCTCTTTCTCTGATTCTCTCCTCCTCCCCTTCTCTCTTTCTCCCATTCTCTCCTCCCCCCACCCTCGTCCCACCCACATCCCTTCCGCTCCAGACTTTCCCAAACTCGCGCACAATACCTCGTGATCTGACATCTCCTGGGACGTTTCGGATGTATCTGAAGACGTCGTCGGGGTGATGGGTCGCGTGTCCTCGGGCGTTGCCAAGCCTATGTTGATGAGGATCTCCCCAAGGACGTCCTCGGGTTCCTCCTCGCTCTGGCGAAGCATCGAGTAGACGACTCGGGGGTACCGCCTGGAAGGAGAGCTTTCCGTAAAGGGCTTGATCGTGTATCAGTATTGGTATTATCATTATCATTATTATTATTATCATTATTGTTATCTTTATTATTTGTTATCATTTTTATTTATGTTATCATTATTATTTACGTTATCATTATTATTTATGTTATTATTATTATTCTTGTTATCATTGTTATTTATGTTGTCATTATTATCATAATTATGAGTGTTATCTTTATTATTTATGTCATCCTTATTACTATCATTGTATTCATTATTATTATTTTTATTATTATTATCTTTGCTTCTATTGGTCATTCATGTGTAATTATTTTTCAATGTAATTTTTTCAATTATTTAAAATCTATCTATATTTCCACACGTATTTAGAATAATCCTCTCATAATTAGCAGTTTAATAATGATCATTATTATACAACTAACAACTTAGAAAGAAAAGAAAAAAAAAACAACAACACTGATTATTTAGTAATTATGTCTTGGATAATGATTAAATGGTAAACTGCAGGAAAGTTATGATGATTAGATAACTGACAGGATGTTAATGACGATTATACGAAACAGAACACAAGGACACTCAACCACTCGTAAACCCATCTCTGCCTCGATGTGGAATGGATAGTTATCATTATTTTCGTATTAGTACTGTGGCACCCTTCGTCTGTAGTTCTGCGCTGGTTTCCTTGGCGATATTTATTTTATTTACTTATTTATTCATGTTTATTTTTTTGTTTATTTTATTTACTTATTTATTCATGTTTATTTTTTTGTTTATTTTATTTACTTATTTATTCGTTTATTTTATTTACTTATTTATTCATGTTTATTTTTTGTTTATTCTATTTACTTATTTATTCATGTTTACTTTTTGTTTATTTTATTTACTTATTTATTCATGTTTATTTTTTGTTTATTTTATTTACTTATTTATTCATGGTTATTTTTTGTTTATTTTTATTTACTTATTTATTCATGGTTATTTTTTGTTTATTTTTATTTACTTATTTATTCATATTTATTTTTTGTTTATTTTATTTACTTATTTATTCATGTTTATTTTTTGTTTATTTTTATTTACTTATTTATTCATGTTTACTTTTTGTTTATTTTATTTACTTATTTATTCATGGTTATTTTTTGTTTATTTTATTTACTTATTTATTCATATTTATTTTTTGTTTATTTTTATTTACTTATTTATTCATATATTTTTTTTTTATTTACTTATTTATTCATGTTTACTTTTCGTTTATTTTATTTACTTATTTATTCATCTGTTTATCGTTTACTTTATTTACTTATTCATTCATCATTTATCTTTTGTTAAGTTTATTTACTTATTCATTCATCTGTTTATCTTTTACTTATTTTATTTACTTATTTATTAACCTGTTTATCTTTAATTTGTTTTATTTACTTATTTATCCATCTGTTTATCTTTTATTTTTATTTACTTATTTAATCATCTGTTTATCTTCTATTTATTCATGTTTATTTTTTATGTATTTTATTTATTTATTCATATGTTTACCTTCTATTTATTTTATTTATTTATCTATTCATCTGTTTATCTTCTAATTATTTTATTTATTTATTTATTCATCTGTGCAGCTTTTATTTATTTTATTTACTTATTTATTCATCTGTCTATCTTCTATTTATTTATTTTGTATAAATCAATCACTGGAGTTTCTAAGTTCCGTATTGTGGCCAACGTAAGTTTAACTTATTTAAGAGTTTATGAACATCATAATTCTTTGTAAAAGAAAAAGAAAACTGAAAAACAAAACTGATTATTCATTATCATTAGTGTAATAAGCTTCATTATCGTCATGAGATTCTTCGAATTTGTCTAACCTGAAAGGCCTGACATGAAAAAAAAAAAAAAAAAAAAATCAATATTATTATTATGTTTCTAAACACCTTTTACATGTTCAATCAATATCAATATATCTATTTTATTTATTTCTTGTTTGGATACTCAGCAGTTATCATTTTAATCAATATTCAGATTAAAAATATCATATCACTGTCAATATTTCAGAGTAAGACGAATGTTCAATGTTTTAACTAATATATACACTCACGTTTTTTATCAAACTTTTCTTAAGTAAATTTTGAATGTATATTTAAGACGTAATCCAGGGGATCTCAGGTGTGGAATATAATTATCATTGCTACTCTCAGTTTTCTGTTGTTAGTTTTATCTAATATTATCGCCAGCCAATTAAAAAGGAAGAAAATAGAAAGTAGGAAAATGAGATATGTTGTGTATGCACGCACGGGTACGGACACACACACACACACACACACACACACACACACACACACACACACACACACACACACACACAGAAGCTTTTACATATATATATATATATATATATATATATATATATATATATATATATGCGCGCGTATATAAAGATATATATGAATCTCAAATATTCTTTACAACACACTAACGTTTCACCGAATAATATTTTTATTTTATTATTATTATTTCTTTTTACGAAAAAGTTTCCTAAAACCCAAATAAGATTTTTGCTTCTGCCTCCAGTAAATCAGCGACAACATCCTTACCTCCAGTATTTCTACATGGAGAAAATCTTGGTCGCTGGTTTTGAATACTAATCTTCCAATATAATCTTACTTTCCTCTAGCTTCATATTTTACGATGGCCTCACGTTAAAACCTTAACATAACCCAACATCATGACACCAAAAGTGTGAGTTGCACGTGATGTCACAAATTTACTGTTTTAGAAATACGACGCTTATATTCTTGATCAAGTTTTTTTCCTGAGACCAAACATTTCTCGTTTAAACTGAAATCTGAGATACAGGTCTGTCCGTGGGTATAGTATATGTATACGTAAGTAACTATCTATACGTATACAGACACATACACACGCACGCACAGATACACAGATACATGTGTATATACATATAATCATGCAAATAAAATACCAACAATAAAAGTAGCAACAATAATAATAATGACAACAAGCACAAAAACAACAATTGCGACTATAATATTATCAAAAGAGAGAGCAACAATAATGATAATAACAGAACGACGCAAAACTATATAATTCACGGACAATATGAATAATTATAATAACATCAATAACATCAACATTATCAACAAGACAAGTGTTGATAATATATCACGATAAAGATAATAAATGTAACAGTAATAGTAACAATAATTATAACAACAACAATAGCATTATTATTGTTAATAATAATAATGATGATTATATTAAAACTAATAAAACGAATACGAATATTCGTAGTACTAGTATTTGTATCATCATTATCATTATTATTAACATGAATAATAACATTGTTATCATTAATGATAAAATAATAATCTCATAATTTGTATTATTAACAATAATAACAATAACAATGAGAATTCCATCTTGCATCGACTGTAAGTTGCAATACTCCTTCTAATCTCAAGAAAGAGAAAAAATGGCAACTGTCCGTAGACATTCGCAAAATCTCTACTCAGTACATAATAATGATAATAATAAAAAGGTGGTGTACGGCAATAAATACATAGTTATGAATTTTTAAAAGCAACAAACTTATATGAGCGGAAGTATTAAGTGTCAGGAGATTACAATAAAAAAGAAACTTCGTGAATCCTGTACTTGGTCGTGCCATAGAATAAATTGTAAGAATATTTGAGAAAATCGACAATTAATACATTTAGCTGATCAATTGACAGAGCGATTAAATCCTCTTTAAACGCCTCTGCACTTTGCACTAAGCAGTTCGCAGTATTACGAAGCGCATTCATTATAACATCATCATGTGTAATTTCTATCAAAATGTCAATCAAACTGAGTGTCGATTCTGTAATCTACGTTATGATTCTAAAAGAAATCTTACTTATTTTTCTTCTATTTATTATAATATTTTCCTTTCCTTTTTTCTGTTTACTTAACTTTATTTTTTCCTTTTTTTAACACAATAAAGCACAGATTCTAGAATGGGAATTGGTGATTAAATCTGCATGAAGGAGGGAGGGAGGGAGAGAGAGAGAGAGAGAGAGAGAGAGAGAGAGAGAGAGAGAGAGAGAGAGAGAGAGAGAGAGAGAGAGAGAGAGAGAGAGAGAGAGAGAGAGCGTTAGCGTAGGAGAAAAAAAATCAGCAAGAACAAAAAAATAAACATGTAGAAAAAAAAGACACCCCTCCCCCCATCTTCGCTTTGTGTCAATCAACCGACTCACGTTAAGTGAACGAAACATCATATTGTTTCATCCAATGTTCAGAGAGAACAAATCATCAACAGTGCTTAGTAACTCACTGTTATATCTTTACTTAAATTTTACGCTTAAAGGATACTCTGGTTTACGGAATCGTAAATAAAATAATAATTTTGCAAGCAAATATGTTATTTTTATCTTTATTACAACCATCTCTAAGATACGATCATATTAAGATTATGATCATAGCTACTACTATGATGTTAACCAGTATATCATCTTTATTATTTTTATTGTCGTTATTATTATTATTATTCACAATCACTTCTGGCATTTATGACTATAAAACGTATTTTCTTTTTTTCTAGTTTTTTTTTTTAGATATCTTTTACGATCACCAGAATACATGCAAACAATCGCAAACATATAAATACAACAATAGCATTATTATTGTTAATAATAATAATGATGATTATATTAAAACTAATAAAACGAATACGAATATTCGTAGTACTAGTATTTGTATCATCATTATCATTATTATTAACATGAATAATAACATTGTTATCATTAATGATAAAATAATAATCTCATAATTTGTATTATTAACAATAATAACAATAACAATGAGAATTCCATCTTGCATCGACTGTAAGTTGCAATACTCCTTCTAATCTCAAGAAAGAGAAAAAATGGCAACTGTCCGTAGACATTCGCAAAATCTCTACTCAGTACATAATAATGATAATAATAAAAAGGTGGTGTACGGCAATAAATACATAGTCATGATTTTTAAAAGCAACAAACTTATATGAGCGGAAGTATTAAGTGTCAGGAGATTACAATAAAAAAGAAACTTCGTGAATCCTGTACTTGGTCGTGCCATAGAATAAATTGTAAGAATATTTGAGAAAATCGACAATTAATACATTTAGCTGTTTTTTTTTAGATATCTTTTACGATCACCAGAATACATGCAAACAATCGCAAACATATAAATACAAAATCATACTGGTAAATATATATGCATGCACACACACGCACACACACACACACACGCACGCACGCACACACGCACGCACACACACACACACACACACGCACACGCACACACACCAAAACCCGTACACTCGTACCACATATACACACGATTCCTCCCCTTCTCACGTGACACAGTGACCAGGAAATCAATAGAAACGTCAGTAGATTACCCAAAGGGAAAAACCCTGGCTGATCGATTACCTGTTACTGTGGTCCTCAGCAGCTACATGCTCGTGGCTTGTGTACACCACACCCCACACACAACAACTCACACGTGCGTACACACATGAGCGTACCATTGTCTCTCGATGTCACACTTATGTATATATACGTGTCTGTGATTAGGTTGGCGTGTATTCTTGGGTATGTGTGTATGTGGCTTATGGCTTTCGAGGTTGTATCAAAAGCAGTGTTAGGGTATCCATGATTCATACAACAATTCGGGTCACTCGATGCAGATGATTGAAAAATAGTGTACTTACGCCGTTCCCATGTTCTCCTTCCACTTATGGACGAAACAGAGGAGCATGACGAACAGGGACCCAGCGATGACAACCGAAATCAGGAGCAGGAGTAAATTTCCCACTAAGGAAGTAGAGGATTTGAGATCCTGCAGCTTAGCCGCGGGCAGGTTACTGCGTGCGCTGCTACTGTTCCTTTTATTTCCGTTGTCGCTCTTTTTCCTATTTACTTTATCCACACTGCTTTCTTCCTCTTGTTTAACTGTTCTTTCGATTCCACTGTCACCGATGCCTTGGATGTTTCCCTCGTCTACGTTGTCCACTGTACGCGAGGGTTTAGGAATGGGCCTTTTCCGAGCCGCTTCCGTCTCTGTGGTTAATTTCCCGGTTTGCTGATCTATCATCGTCGACAAGTGTTCACTGTGATTGTCAGGCTGAGAACGCACGGCCACGAGGCATGCTGAGTACAAGAGCAGTTTAAGAAGGATGACAGCATACCTCACTTGCGCCATTTTGATGTTATGTTTTGAAGCTGGAGTGTGCTGCTGGGTCGGCTCGAGTTGCCACGCACTCTTTTCCCCTTCTCGCGTGTGTGTGGTTGGGAAAAGTACTTCGGGTTTAGTCTATTTATGAGTGAAAACGCCTATTCTGAAGGAAGTTAATAGAGCTTCGATTCCTTATTAGTAATTTCTTGGAGAAAAAAATCTGTAAGAAAATTTCTATCTTCATTTCATTCACAGAAAAAAAAATTGAGTTTACGCGAAGTAGCGGGAACTCGAGCAAAAATCACTTACAACAGCCTAAACATAACATTACACTCACCTACTTTTACACTTTTATATACATTTCACCAAATCCATCCATTAATCGGAAGTGACAGAAGGAAAAAAAACAAACATTTTCTGAAATTCTTGCGAACTGGTAACCTCTTTCAGTCGATATTTGGCGCCTGCGTGACGTGATGGAGCCAAGTTATCACCTTCCCAGGATATCCATAGCACATTTCAAACTGGGGAAACAGATACAAAAACATATAGAAATTTGTTATACAGTTAAGGGAAAGCGTAATGAATTTGATATGTTTATTAATGATTGTTCTAGTTGATATGTGTCTACGATAAAGAAGGATCCTCATCGAAACGACCAGCTCTTGCCACACTGATATATTATATATACTCATTTAAACACACACACACACAGACACATATATATGTATATGTATATGTATGTATATGTATATATATGTATATGTATCTGCATATGTATATATACACGCATATTTCTGTATGTGTGTGTTCAAACTTCTATCTTGCAATTCCTCTACATCACCTTTTCCATATATCGGTTTATCGATCTTGTTTCTGTAGTACAGTATTTCGTCAGTTCATTCGAAGGACAAACTCCACCAGTTGATTTCGGTCGTTTTCCACACCTCTTGCGATAAGTTATATTAGTCATTGGGACAATGATTCAAATGCAAGATAACTCCGGTCCTATATGTATCAACTCATTATTACTTGTAACGTTGAAACTCGCACCTCTTCAATGTAAATGATATGACTGAGGGTTGAGGAAATCTGGGATGGAGATATTTTTTGTATATCAAAAGTGCATTCTTACATATACATACATACACACACGCATATTTATATATGTGTGTGTATATGTGTGTATATATATGTATGTGTGTGTATATATGTATATATACATACATATCTATATCTATCTATATATATGTATGTATGTATCTATTTATATAATATATATATGAGTGTGTGTGTCTGTGTATATATAGATAGATAAATAGACGCACGCGCGCGCGCGCATGCACACACCCACACACACATGGGGTGGGCGTGGCTTGATTTTGGTTTGCTCCAATGAAATGGAATTAGATATAAAACGAGACGTAATCAGATGATGTTTCACATTACATTTACATTTTTCGTTTTGGCTCGCCTTCTGATATTCCGAAAATTCCGTGCTAAAACGAAATGTAGTTATATATGAATCTATTGGTTGTCAATATTAAACCGATTGATGCGAAATACTTTCCTAACCGTGTTTATTTATATTCTCAGTTATTATTTTTCTGAATCCTTTATCGTAATTGTTTTAATGAAAACATCATTGTGATAAAGACTGCACAGAAATACTTACATTAAAATATATGATTAATAACAATGCTCGATTAAACTAGTATAATTATACCAAGAATGAAATAGCGTTTTAGTAATAGGAAGTTCTTTAATTGCTTTACTGAGGACTGGTTGGTAAACTTGTTGTAGTAGAAAAA